CTAACCACCCCTGAGAGCTACTGAGATGTATTTTCATGTGTGTATGCCCACTACAGGTGTTAATAAAGTGTTTCCCTCTTAGTAATCCCTTTGATCAGTCTAGTACACAGGTCCTCAACCTAGGGGAAAAAAGGAAGAAAGGTTTCATCACCTCTCTATTTCTAATGCTTTGCTAATTATGCTGGAGGTGTGTTACACCTGGGTTCCCCTTACTCCTCAACTAAAGATTCTTGCTCAATCCATCCAGGAAGTCTTTAAAAATTCCCCAGGTATCCTTGTTAAGATCCTGTGCATGCGCAGCTCGGGGTCTTGCGTCTTACATCATCACTGGACGCTGGTGACTACATACCCGCCTTTAAAAAGCCAGAAGCAGACCCCCACCCTCTCTGTTCCTGCTCTGCTCCCGCCATCTTTCTCTCCAGGCCTGGCTCTCCTCCCTCTTATCCCCTCCTTCTTTCTAATAAAGCTCTTTGTAACTCTGGTAGTCATGGCCGTGGCCCTTGACTTTTCCACCGTAACTAGAGCCACCATCAGCACCATTTATCTTAACCATCAATCGCTTCCTTCAAGCTGCATAAAAGCCCAGCATCAGTCATTTGACTCGGGAATGGTCTCTGGAAGGCTCTCATAAAGTGCCTGTTACCCAGGAAGAACCAAAGATAAATTCCTCAATCTGCACAGAGCACAGCATTATTGTTGTTACTTTCAGTGTCTGTCTCCTAGAAGAAGGCGAACAGTAAGTGTCTTCATGTGGATGCTGAGGGGAAGAAGCAAACTTCAGCTGGCATGTGATTAGAGGAGATGTTGGGAATCCAAGGCTGGCATAAAAGCACCAGCCCCCTGAGAAGGTTTAGCAGCTTTGCCTTGATACAAAACATGAAATGGCAACTTAGTAGAGGCAGTAGTCAGACAGACCAGACTTCAAAACTCCATTTACTCACTGTGTGATCAGAGGCAAGCCATTGAGGTTTCTGAGCCTCAATTTATTCATTTATGACATGGAATGAGTTATAGCTACCTCAGCATGGTTGATGGGTAGTGAGAAGACATGAGGAGCGTGCACAGTAGACAGTCCTCCAGAGATGGTGGCTGTTGTTACTAGAGTAGTCATTCCCACCAGTCATGATTGCCAACAATCTCAGACATGCTCCATGGTTTTTGTTTGGTTGGTTTTGGTTTTTTGAAACAGGGTTTCTTTGTATAACAGCTCTGCGTGTCCTGGAACTTGTTCTGTAGACCAGGCTGGCCTCAAGCTCACAGAGATCCGCCTGCCTCTGCCTCCCGAGTGCTGGGATTAAAGGTGTGCACCACCACCACCTGGCTCCATGGGTTTTTCTATGGAAACTTGAGAACTGTTTGCTCTGGGATTATTTTGAAGCTGGATTTAAATGGGAGAGTTTTACCAGGGATTATGCTTTTTCTAGCAAATATATTTCTTGAAAGTTTAAGCAGGAGTAAAACACCAAATGTGATAGCCATTCTGTTCTCAACACAGACAAATATGGAGTTAAAATGAACTTGAAGACCAACCAAAATAGAAGAAAAATTTTTTAAAGAAGCTGAAGAGAAGGGGACAGGAAAAAATGGTAGAATTTACAGACACTCTCCTTGATGCTTTGCATTGCTATCATGAAATACCCACTACAAGTTACGATTTAGCTCCCAGGGTTTTTGGGGGGGCAGGGTGCTCAAAGTCTAAGCATCAGAACAAAGTTTGGTTACAAAGCCTTCCCCTTGGCAGCATGATCTCGAGGTGTAGATGGTAACAGTGGGACTGTGGGCACGAACAAGTATATCTGGGACTGACAGAGACCAAGGCAGGGGCGGGGGTGGCTCCTTTTATAACAACCCTCTTACAAGAGCCAGCAAAGGTTAGCATGGGAAATGGACGGACAAGGGACAATTTCAAATGAACTCTTAGAAGCCAGATGACATTAGATGACACCTCTGAAACCGTAAGCCAAAATAACCCTTCCCTCCCTCCTGGGGTGTCCTGGGGTATTTTGTCACATGATGGACTGCTGACCAACAGAAGCAGAAAACAATGAGAGGATCTTTAGTGACTGGGAAAGAACCCCACCTGAGACTGACAGGGGATGGTGGGGACGGACGGACTCTAAGAAACCCCAGAACAAAAGCAGCTCTCTTTCCCTCTCAAACATCTAATCAACAACATTAATACAGCAGCTTCATTTTCAATGACCTGAGTACAGACTAATACGAGCAATTGTGCTTCGTGTATAATAAGCTCTTTATTTTGACATGGGGTCTCACTACATAGCCCAGGGTGGGCTGGAGCTTGAGACTAGATGCAACAGTTGTAAAACCGTATTACTCAGCACAAAGCTCTTCATTAAAAATATTACACGGACTGGTAAAGGGACAAAGGCTTCTGGCACACTCGTAAGATTCTATTTCTCATTCTGGATGCTGGTCACACGGGTATATCCAGTTAATATAAGTTAATAGCCATGCACGCTTGTGAATTTCTGCTTTTCAGTGTGTATTTAGTTTTTCAGTATTTGAAAAATTAAAAGCTTATTTTGCTTTGCAATTTCTAAGATGTATGTGAAAGTTGGTTTTGGGATCTTGTCAGTGGAAAAACAACTCTCTATACAGAATTCTAGTTACAGAGCCTTGGAAGAGTCTTGAAGACTGGGGGAGGGGAATTCTGAGTCTTTGGCAGTTCTTCAGAGCTACAAGAGTGGGAGCAGATAGCTTCCTATCTGGCAGAGTGGTTGAACCAGCCTTCAAATGTGCCAATGTAGATCCAACATGGAGAGAGCATGGCAAGCTACTCCCCAATCCTCTAAGTCCTGAAGGGGAAAGGGCCCAGGAATCAGGGAAGAAGACGAGTTACCAAGAGAGGGGGTGAATAAAACTAATGGCGCTGGATTTGAGCCCAGGAGCAAGATGCTCAGAACTGAGAACACATTCTAAAGATGCCCTGGCCACAGGACTTTTAAGAAGATGAGTGTCTGCGGTGGAATTGTATGCAGCTGTAAAGAATGATGAAATCTTGCCATTCATCAGCCCCCAAGTCTGTTCGTTTATCATAACCTCCTTCCAGAAGTGAACTGGGGTTCCATGAGAACTAAATCAGATTCTTCATAGTGCCTTGTCTGCAATGACAAGCAGTGATGCACACTTGATCCACCTCTCAAAGTCAGACACCAGAGACCAGAGCAGCCACACTGAGGACCTAGCGCCCCGTGAACCTTCAGGAGGTACTCACACAACACGAGCATATGCTGCAACTTGGTAATTTATGGATGGGCTCTTAAACAGTAAAACAGAAAAGTACAATAGAGCCGGGCAGTGGTGGTGCATGCCTTTAATCCCAGCCCTCGGGAGGCAAAGCCAGGCAGATCTCTGTGAGTTCGAGGCCAGCCTGGTCTACAGAGTGAGATCCAGGACAGGCACCAAAACTACATAGAGAAACTCTGTCTTGAAAAAAATAAAAAATAAAAAAATTTAAAAATTAAAAAAAAGAAAAGTACAATTGTGCCATAAAAAATGACTTGGGACCTTACAATATGCCTACTTCTGACACATAGGTAGTTGACTGCTGTTCCAACCTCTTGGGGTGTGGGATGAAGAACAGTAAATCTTCAAGTCAGATGAGCACAGCTAACCTCCTGGGGAAGCTATTTAATGTCTCTAGACTTGCTGCTTCCTCACAAAGCAGGGCCAGTGACTCCAGGGACAGATCTGCAGGGGCAGAGTGAGAATGTACTTGAAGTAAGTCTTTTGGCAGATAATAAGTAGTAAACACCCAATAATTTTCTTCTTGTCTTCTTTCTCCTTCACAGGATTGAATACAGAAATACTTTCTAAATTATCAAGTGTCATCAAATATTACTGCTATTTCAGATTGCTAGCTGATTATACGGCGAACCACATTGTTTCATAGCCATGCCCTTTAAGGAGCAGGCGAAACGCTTTGGGACAGTAAATTAAATAAATGAGTGGCTTCGTGCAGTGCTTTTTAATCCAGAGCAGCGTTGTCTTTCGAGGGTTGTTCAGCAGAGTCTGCAGACAGTTTGTGTTGTCACTGCTTGAGGAACAATTCTGGCATCTGGGAGTAGGGGCCAAGATTCTGCTGAGCATCCTACAAGGAGCAGGATGGTTCCCCATAACAAAGACGTATCCCAACTCAAATGTTCCCTTGGAACCCTTCGGTGGTAAGACAAGTTAGTCTGGTCACCCTTGGTTGCAGTTCTGCGAAGTGCCTACGCACATAGTAAAGGTCCTTAGCTTCAAAGACTCCCCTCCTTAGCCTGGAAAGTCTCAAAAAGGGAAATGAAAAAATTCCCTTCAACTGTGGCCTTGTGCTTCCTTTTTCACATGTCAGATCAGGAGCTTTTTACATCACTGAAAGATGTGTTTTCTGCCCTGGAAAGGTCTAGAGACTCTCTCCAGGCAGTCGTATCCACACTCGATTCAAAGACATATTATGTTTTGCAAAATACTACCATCTTGAAGACCCATTCAATCCTGCTGGTCTCTAGAAATACTAAGTAAACCAAACTGCACAGGACTCAACTCACCCAGGACTCAATACACGAATAGGTACTATACTGTAAAGAGGGTGGTTGCTTCAGAGTAGGAGTCCTCCTTCATACTAGCCCCGTATCTTAATGTTAAAGGCCACAATGTGAGAACTCAGAGCTAATGGAAAGACTGCTTAGGAACATTTCTGTTCCCACACAGTGATGTTGAGAACATGTTCCCAGTTATGAGTCTAGCGGAGGGTGTGGCTAACCAACTGTGTGAACCAAGCCACTCGTATTTTCCTGTTCAGCTTCTTCATCTCCCACTGTGCCTCCTACCACTGCTGATTACAGGGCCACATGATCCAACAACAAGGTTAGAACTGTGTCCACAACAAAGGATGCCAGGAGAACAGGGTGCAGTCAACAGCAGACTCATGGTTTGTCTGTGATTTACTGTGTATTTTCACAACTCATTACTTATTTGATCTTTCCCACAACCCACAGGCAAGATATATTTCACCAGCCCTCGTCTCCAGATGAAAAAGAAAACTCCCCAGATCCATAAAATGTGAGGGTCTCCTTCTGTGTTGTGCAACAAAGTGTTACAGATCCAGGACTTCCACCTTTTAAGAGCGCTCTTTGCTAGAGTACAGAAAAATCAAGCACAAGGTGGGCTACTTTCCTCCTGTTATCTGAGTTTGATTCGCTTGGCTCCATCTCAGGAATATAAAGAGGTCTGGAACTACTGACCTGGCATGGCATGGCATGGCCTGACCACACACCACAGAGAAAGCACAGCATCCCTCCCCAGAGCTCGGCATCTCAGCCCTGGCAGTTTCCTACACCAGCAGCAATCTGCTTTCTGCTGACCTACAGGCTCCGGGTAGATTCTGGGGCAGTCGCTGTCTTCAGTTGTATACCCACTGAGGAGCTGGTCAGGCTCCTGTGGGGAGTACCAAGCTCACGGTCACACAGGTGATCTTGGTTTAACACAGTGAGCCTCAAACAACAGTAACAACAAGAAAAATGTCATAAATGTGGGAAGAAGACTGAGGGAGGAGGGGATAGCAGAGGCAGGAGGAAGCTTAGACAGGGTGTTGTTCTCAGAGGTGTTCAGAGCAATCAGAATGAACATTACGCATGTGTGAAATTGCCAAAGAACACACTTAACAAAAGTAAAAAATACCTTTATGGAATTACTCATTTCCTAAAGTATTGTTTTATCACATAATTAATCATCTCGGGTAGATTTTGTTCACAGTCTCTATTTCTTCTTGCCTAATTTCACCTGTTACTCATGTTTAAACCCAACGGCTGCAATCTAATATCTTTGTCTCCTGGATGATTAGACGATTGTTCCAAATTAGCCATGTCATGACCAGAAGGCATGTGCTTACTCCATTTATGGACTCGGCTACAGATTCTTCCCGGGAAGGCTCCTCAGGCTCCTCAGGTTCCTTACCTTCCTTTTACTCGACTATTCACTGTCATTGCGCTCCCAGAACACACAGATCTTTTTGTCTGACCCGGACTGTCGAGCTGTGTTGTTCCCGTTAAAGGAAATAGTTTAGCAATCTCTCTCTCTCCTCTCTCTCTCTCTCTCTCTCTCTCTCTCTCTCTCTCTCTCTCTCTCTCTCTCTCTCTGTGTGCATTTTCTCAGCAGTACTTACAAAAAAATTTATTTTTGCTTGTCTTTGGAGAAGTTTCAAAGTTCCTCAAATAACTCTGTACTATTTACAGTTAGATTATATATAGCTGTAAAATTACAGCTTGTCTTATAACTGGCAGGACAAAGCCAAGATAGTATGCCTGCAGCAGTGTAGAGCAAATGCATATCTCTAACATCTACAAACATAAACCAAAGTTAGATGATCATACCCCCTTTCACTTTTATACTTTTAACTTTAAAGACATAGAAAAATGCCAAGTGAGGAGATAAGAGTCATTCTCTTCTCTGTATACAGGAAGATTCAGCTAGAAGAAAAATTCCAGAAATTCTTTGTTCTGGAATCTTCCGCTTCTCAGAGAAAACAGGGAGGTTGTTATTTCAGGAGTCACTATGGACCCACAAGGGTTCAGCAAGAATGCCACAGAACAAGGCAGTTACTGGGTGAAGATGCTTCAGCTTAATCGTACTGTAGCACTGAAACCCTTGTCTAGGTTTGAACTATATAGTAAAGGCTTCTTTTCTTGTAATTGAGTGCATATTTTCTCATCTCCAACCAATTTTTCTAAGCAAATCCTTGCTCTGGTGAGTAAGTTTATTGGTACCAAATGAATTCAGCTGATGATCAATCACTGTCTCTGTCTCTCACAGTCACATAAATACACATTTTCATTGCAAATGTTATCCATGCATAAAATGCACATGCATGCTTAGCCAATAGCTAAAAATGTACACCCATGTATCATGCAGGTGAAAAGATAGAAGCTTGCTCACACTCACACTGTAGCATCCCTCCTGACCAGTGGTCCTAACCCACCCCACCTTTTCATTAAAGGTCACTGCAGCATCCCCCCGCCAGCGGTGTTTCTAACCCATCCCGCCTCTCCATTAGAATTCACTGTTGTTCCAATGTCTAAGATAATAATTTCTGGCTTTTCTTTATAGTTTTACTATTTATAGTATTTTCTTTCTTTTTGTTTCTGGTTTGTTTTTTCCTAGACAGGATTTCTCTGTGTAGTCCTGGCTGACCTGGGACTCACCGTATAGACCAGGCTGGCCTTGAACTCAGAGATCTGCTTGCGCCTGCCTCCCAAGTGCTGAGATTAAAGGTGGGCACCACTGCCACCCAGCTATTTTCTTAGTTTGTCCATGAAATGCAGACAGATTGCAGGTGACTTTTAGTCATCCCATTTCATTTCTGTGTGAAACTCAACTTTCTTCTTCCTCTTCTTCTTCTTCTTCTTCTTCTTCTTCTTCTTCTTCTTCTTCTTCTTCTTCTTCTTCTTCTTCTTCTTCCTCTTCCTCTTCCTCTTCCTCTTCCTCTTCCTCTTCCTCTTCCTCTTCTTCTTCACCATTGTCATCATTGTCATCCTTCTTTTCTGTGTGTGTGTGTGTGTCTAGTTTTGGTCAGTCTCATCAGTGAATTTGCTGAGAGGATTCCAGTGTGCAGTCCTGTGTGCGCCTAAGAGTGAAACTTTTGAGTCATGGGCTAAGCCTATCTTGAACATTACCTCAGGGTTCAGACAGCTCCCAAAGTCATCACACCAGTTTAATTTCATACCATACACACGCTGGTTCTTGCAAGTCTGCTTCTTTGCCAGTTTTTGGCATAGTGAGACCTTAAATTATTCTGTTAATCATTGTGGTAGCTAGTTTTTAGTTGATGTGGCAAACTCCAGAGAGAAACTAAAGAAGGAAGGTTCTATCCCTTCTCCTTTTCCTTCTTCTTCCTTGGAGATGGGATCTCACTATGTAGCCCTGGCTATCCTATAACTCCATATATAGACTAGGCTAGCTTCAAAGTCACAAAGATCTGCACGCCTCTGCTTCCTAGGTGCTGGATCAAAGGCTTGTACCACCATGCCAGGCTCTCTTTTGCCAGTTTTTAGGTATCTTTTTTTCTCAGAAATTCTAAACATTCTGAACACTAGCTGCCTGTCAGTTCTATAGTTGAAAAACACCCACTCTTACTTAGCATATATTTTCTCTTCCCTTTCTTTCAGAGAGGCAATGAAGGGGGTTGACCTCTGTTGCCATATAAAATGCAGTCATCCCGATCTTCCTATTTCTCCCTGTATCTGACTAGATTTCATTCCTGTGCATGAAGTGATATTAGACGATCAGTTTCGCCTGACTCACTCTGGGCATCCACTAACTCCCACACTCTGAGTGAGAAGCTTCTCTTTCCCGCCATCCTGTCACATGTTATACAATAAGATCCATGCGTAGAAGTGGACGTTTATGAGATTTCTGCTCTAACTCACTTACTATCCACTGTTTGCTCTGCTAATGCCTTGCCGCCCTTATGCCATAGCTTAGGGAAGTACCTTCTCATCCACTTGGAGGAACGTGCCCATCCTAGAATTCTTTCAGAATAGCTTGGCTAACCATAGCTTTTACATTTTGCATACACATGTTAAATTTAGAGTTTGTCTTTTTGCACAAATTTTGGGAACCAATTTCTGTGGTCCACAGTACATCTATCTATTAGATTTGTTCTTTTTTTTTTTTTTTTTTTTTTTTGGTTTTTCGAGACAGGGTTTCTCTGTGTAGCTTTGCGCCTTTCCTGGAACTCACTTGGTAGCCCAGGCTGGCCTCGAACTCACAAAGATCCGCCTGCCTCTGCCTCCCGAGTGCTGGGATTAAAGGCGTGCGCCACCAACGCCCGGCTCTAGATTTGTTCTTGAGATTTCACTGAATGTGTGTTTTTAAGACTGCTTGTTTTTGAGAAAATAAAAGTTTTTGAGAAAATTAATCTTTGCATATTGAGTCTTTTGATCTATGAATAGTGGCAATTCATTTCAGTTTCTTTTTGGTCCTCAATTAAGTTTTGCAATATTCCCCATAAAGATTCCAGATGCCTTTAGTAGGAATTATTCATAGATAATCAACTTTGATGCTGTGGTGGATTGCACTTTTTAAAGTTTTATTTTCTAGCTCTTTCCTGATTTCCAGACACACAGGTGAACTTCATCCATTGATTGTTGTCATCTTGCTAAACTCTCTTAACTCTGATTTATGATCAGGATATCACTTTATCTGCAAGCACAGCCAAATCCCGGAAGAACCCAGAAGCTCCCCGAAGCCACCCTTCTGTCTTTGCCATCTTCCACACTGTGCCTTTCTTGTATTGCTCTGCCTGGGATCTCCAGTGTGACCTGGAGTGTGTGTGTGTGGGAGGATCATGCTGCACTATGAGCATTCATTGAACCTGGGAGAAATCTACAATGATTGCCAGCTTTTGGAAGATAGTTTTGGAAAGCTAGAAACATCTTTTTTTCTTATATTCTACAATTGCTGAGCATTTTCCACTGTAAGTGGTAGCAAAATTGATGAATTCCATCTTCTGAATCTTTCCAAAGTTTTAATTAATTAGCAACTTATATCTTTTGTCAATAGATTTTTTTCTAACTAATTTGTCCATGTCCGAATTGTGTTTTTCATCCCCGCCCTCAGAAATGACAGGTTGTCCTATTTACGTAGTACTTGATTTGGTTGGTTTGTGATTTTCCCTTCCTGTGTCATCCTTGTCTAGTTTCTTTAAGGAAGTTACGGAGACTGTGGGCGGGGCACAGCCTTATTATTCTTAGTCCTGTCGTCTGGGATAGTTGGTGCTAGACAGATCCTTGCAACCCTGGCTTGTCCCTCTGCTTTCCAAGCCCTCTGCTTCCTTTCTGGGTCAGGTCCAAGTTCTTTTACTCGTCAGTGATCTCCCCTACTCAGTGGGCCTCATGTGATCTGTGAAGTATGCTCAGGCTTTGGAGGTAGCTGCCTCCTCCTGCTATGCCCAGGAGAGTGACCTTTTCTGTAGGGCAGTGAGGGGAGTCAAGGCCTCTTTTGCACAGGTCATTGCTGCGACTCATGTTTAGAATTCAGCGTGCACACAGGCCTTCACCCGCCCCAGAACTGTGGGATTGGTGTTTAACTGTGCAGTCTCCTACACCTTTGGTTTCTGGTATTGGTTTTGGGTTTTGTCTGTGTATCTTCTTTAGTAGTTTAACGAGGTTTAGTTGAAGGGGTCATATCAGGCTTGTCTACCCTACATTCTGTAGGTTTTTTGTCCAATATTTTATTATTTATATTTTTATTCAGACAGGAAAATCTAAATAATTTTGGAGGCAACATCTACCCATATACTCACCATCTAGATTCTCTTAAAATGTTGATTTTATTAATGCTAAATTTTAATTTTTAACTACTCATTACAATATATTTCAGCTTAGTTCAAGTAAACTGTTAAGGATATCCTTATGGCTTATATGCACTATATGTGTTCTAAAATAGTAATGATAAGAATAACCAGAGAAATAAAAACAAGAATACATGTGGTTTTTTTTTTTTACAGTTTGTTACAGTAAGTTGAATAGTTTTTCAAATTACTCCATTTTATAGACAAAATTGGTCTTATGAAATAAAAAGAGAGAAAGTGAACTGGGTGTTAACTAGGCCTATATTGAATTCTATAAAATGGTATTTAATCTTAGAATTCAAAGGACCACCTTTTATAGACTTTAAAAGCATTATATTATTGTGAATGGCTATATGGTGTGTGAGTATGGTGCCATTGCACACACGTGGAGATAAAGGACAAACTTTGAGGGTCATTTCTCTCTTTCCCCTTTTCTGTATCTGCTGCACTGAGTACCCGAGGCTGGCTGACTGGCTGACAAACTTCCAGGCAATTCTTCGCTCTCAGGTTCCCACCTAGTCACTGCAGTGTTTGGGTTACAGCTACATCAGGCTCTCTGTGTGAGCGCCAGCATCGAACTCAGATTACCAGGCTTGTACTGCAAGTGTTGTGACCTGCTGGGCCATCTCACTGACCCAGGGATCAACCCCAGGCCCCCACACATCCTACAGAAAATCCCTACGACTGAGCTGAGCACCCAGTGCTCTTGCAGATAGGTTTTAAAGAAATGGCGTAACCTGTCATCTCATGCCAGATGACGGAAACTGCAAGACCCCACTGTGTCTTCCGCGGCGTCATTTTCAGTGTTTTTATGACCTGGGGGAGGTCCCGGTGGCTGAAGCGGTAACTCCAAGTGCATCTGCTTCTCGGGAGCATGATTCCCAAGGCCTTTAAAAGGAGCGCTTCCATTCTGTCTCAACAAGCATGTGTTTCATATGAAGACCGTGTTAGTCCTGTCCCTCTGCTTTACCTTTCCCCTTGTAATATAGCATTGAGACATCCCAGTGGAGGGACCTCAGAGCAGTCTGACTCTTACACGATTCCCTGCATATGATTATTTTTTAAAATTGTACTTCCCTGGCATGCATTACAAAGAAGTTGTCCTGCAGATTCAAACCAAAAGCTTGAACAGAGCCAGAGTTTGTTTCAACTTCAATCACTAGCCACCTGGGCTTGCCTGGGATTGGCAGTCCAAAGGGAAAGTAGTGCCTGAGTGTGTTATGGCCTCCCCTGTGTCCTCCGCTCAGGTGCAGAGAACCAAGATTAATCGGGAGAGGTGACAAGGAGGACAGGGCTGGAGTGGAATTGCGGAAGGCAGCGGGGGTCAGAGGACCTAAGTCTTGGCAAGGCAGACTGAGAAATAAATGTCTTTTTAACAGAATAGTTTGAGAAAGAACAAGGTTGTTCAGAAGTCCAAACGCTTGCCAGAGCTTGTAGACGCTTCTCAGCTAAAAACGCTTTCAAGACAAGACCGTTCCTACTGGAGAAGCTTAAGACCTGAAAGCCAGCTCTATTCGGCTATTATGAAACTTCACAATGCATAAAAATGCTAAAGCAAAGTCAATGGCTTACGTGCACCACACACACAAAGTGGCTGGATGTTTGCTCCTAGAGAGATACTCCTTCCAAATCTGGGTTGTTAAATATAGAGAGATCAGACGTTCGATCCTTATTCAAACCGAGTTTCAGAAAAATGAAGGCAAGGAAGGTAGTTTTGTTGGCTAGTTATTGTTGTTTTCTTTGTCTCGCAGACTAGATTTTGCTGGGTCAGTTCTGGCTGAGTCCTGGCCTGGATGGTTTTGCTTTTTAGCCCTCTGTGATACTGCCCAAGAACACGTACTAACAACCTTCTTCCGAGAGCCCAGAGCATGGTGGGTCTCCCCGAATGCTGCTGAAGATGAGGTATGTGAACTTTATCTGGTGACCAGGGAACACATGGGCTTCTCTGGGCGGTTTTATGGAGATGGTTTAGAGATGACCCGGGTGGAACTTTCAGTTGTTCCCCTGGGGAGGGGGGGGTAGGAACAATTAATTCACCTCGAAGGCCTATTTCTTCATCTGTAAAATGGGGCCAACGGTAACGTCTACCCTGTAAAGCTGTTTTTAGATTTGAATGGTACATCTGAAGAAAGAAGAAAGTGAATGCTGAGCTCAGTGGTCATCACAGTCAAGTGGGGAAGACAGTCTCGTAATTGCATGGATGATGATTTTTCTCTGTGTCAACAAAATTCCACTGTCCACGTTCACTGGAAACATCCTATTTAAGGTACTCTCATAACTGTGAGAATATGGAGGAGGAAGAGGAAGAAGAGCACAGGGAAGTGATCTGATAACCGAGACTGAGAAAGAACAGGACACCCCTGGAATTGTTCCCATCAGCACTGAGCCATGGCCATCAAAAACTGCTTTGTTAGTCCAGGAGGAAGTACTCTTGGAAGGCCTTTAGAGCAGACTTTTCTGATGTAACAAAATACAGCCACCTCTGTTTTAGGAACACATGCCACAGACCCACAGAGAGAAATCAACAGAAAGAAACATAATGAGCCTGAAAATACCATAGTGACTTCACTGACTCGTGGCTACTCACATGTGTGTTTATGGAAATACTTAAGATTATCAACAGCAACAACAAAATACTCAAGCAGACACAACCGAAAATGCTTGTAATAGCCCTATTGTCTGTAAGACACTTAGCTATAATTTAGTTTCAGATAAATTATCAATAAATGAAACTATGAATTGTGGTCTGCACTGGGCAGTCTTGTTGTTTTGCATGTGTGTTGACAATTACATACCTAACATGAGGCTTGATCACAAACCCAGCAAATTGTAACATGAGCTTCACTGAAACAGTCAGGTTCTTGGGCTTTTTTTTTTTTTTTTTTTGAGACAGGGTCTCTCTATGGAAGCCTGGCTGTCCTGGAACTCTCTGTGTGAACCAGGCTGGCCTTGAACTCACAGAGATCTGCCTGCCTCTGCCTGCCGAGTGCTGGAACTAAAGGCACGTGCAACCACACTCTGTCTATGATTCTTGGGGCATTTAATGTTACTTCTTTCTTTCATAGTTTCTTCCTCTATAAGAAAAAATGTCGTTATATTTTCACGTGTACTACCAGAGAAATGTGGAAGACATCCTCACTCCCCTGTGAAAGACTCTGTGACGCACCCTTTGGAGTCTGTGGCCTGGTTTCTGTGCCATCAGGGAACTCAGCTCACAAACATCCAAACCTATGATATGGCCGCCTACTCATCAGGATTTATTTTATTGTCCCATTGGCCAAATGGTCGGGGAAAGCTCTGCGTGTGACCTGACTCGGCAAACACAGCAGCGACGATGCATTTGCCGTTCTCTGGATTCTACCGGCATCCACTGTGCTAAGTGCAAAGTGTCGTCTGGTTTACCCGGAGTCTGAGATGTCACAGGAGATGCCGAGGTCTTTCTTGCAGGTATCTCAGTGGGGATCAAAGCATGAGACGACAAGGATTTGGTCCAGTCGCTGCTAGGGATAATTTCTATGTAATACCTCATGTCTACTATTATACTGATGGTTTCTTAAACATAATTTCTTTATTGATTCTTTGGGAATTTCATATCCTATACCCCAATTCCGCTCACCTCCCAGTCCTCCCATATCCTCCCCTCACCCCTGCACTGCACCCCCAAAAGAAAATTTAAAAAAAAAAATCAAAACAAAACAAAACATAGCAAGCAAACAAATAAACAAACACAAGAATAAAACAAAACATCTTTTCACCTCTCCACCTTTCCCGCCTCTCCAGCACCTCTTCATTCGTCCTGGTGGCATTGGGAGCTGTGGTGTGTCACACAGTCCACCCTTTTGTCTGATTGGCTTTACTAGCAAATGTTCATTGCAATGAGTCATTGGTCTTGTTCAAGGCCTCTGGTTTCTGGTACACCATCTTTATTGGATCCTCACCAAAACTCCTCTGGGATAGCCCCTGGCTGCCCAGAGCTATGGAGATCCTGCAGGTATCAGTCCATAGGACCAGGTCCCTTTAAGAGCTCCAGCAGGTCCTAGATGGGGTAGATGGGCCAACCCAAGGCCCGGCTGTGAGCCTGGGTGATAGGTGAGCTGGTCAGTCTGGGCCACTGGGGCCACCCTCCCCTGCGAGGGGGCAGAGCCAGCTCCCCTATGCCAATGCCATCAGGGACAGTTCTCCCCTTGCCTGTGCTGAGGGGTGGGGCCATCTCTCCTGAGTGCAGGGGTCAGCTCTCCTGTGAGGAAAGGAGCCAGCTCTCTTGCTGCAGTGTCCAGTGAGAGGCAAGGCCAGCTTCCCCAGGGTCAGTGAGGGACCAGGCAACCTCAGCATGGTTCTTATGGCCCCCTGAGGTGACATAGGCCATAGACATCAACACAGATGCCAGCTGCAGCTGGACCACAGACCCAGACATGGCCCTTGACAGCAGCGGCTCAGGCCTGGTGGTATCCTGGCTCTGGGTGGAAGTACTGGTCACTCAGATCAGGATGCCTCTGGCAATGGCATGGCCCCCGGGCACCAACAAGGCCACAGGTTGTGGCCCCAACCCCAGGCTTTCGTGTGACCTTTGGCAGCAACACAGGCCTCAGACTTCAATACAGAACCCAGCCTTGGTAGGGCCATGGACCCAGACATGGCCCTCAGTAGCAGCTCAGGCCTGGATGATACCCCAGGTGGCAAGCAGGCCTCCCACATGAACCTACTCCTCACTGCCTTCACTTCTTCCTTTCGGCCTCTTCCCACAGCACAGGACTGTCTGCTTCTCTTTCTCTCCCATTTCTCTGCCGCATATTTGTTCATCATAATGGGAGCCACCTGCCCAGCAGCAGGCGGGCCCACCGATGTTTCCCACAGGCCTGGGGCTTGAGGACCCAGACTGGCGTGTGTGTGTGTGTGTGTGTGTGTGTGTGTGTGTGTGTGTGTGTGTGTGTGTGTTGGTGTGCAAATGAGCGCCTGTGGAGATCAGAGGTTGATATCTGCTGTCTTCCTATATCACCCTGCACCTAAGATCTCTCACTGAACCTGGAGCTTGCTGGTTTGGCAAGATGGCTGATCAACAACTCCGAGGTCCCTCTTGTCTCCACTTCCCCAGCACACCCACCTTTTATGTGGGTTCTGGGGGTTGAACTCAGGGCCTCGTGCTCATGTAGCAGGAACTTTATTGACTGGGCCATCTCCCAGCTCTAACCACTGATTTCTTAAAACTGCCAGGGTTCCGATTTATTTTAGATGTTTTACCAGGAGACATTTAGATACCCTAACTCATTCCTAACCACACTGTGTACAGCACAAAGTCGCTATCTTAAGAGTTCTGGAACATCCCCTTTAAAACATTCCTCATGTGATTGACATACTTACTGCATGTCAGGCACAACAGGCTTGGCTCATAACCAACGCTCTAAGAGGCTGGCTGGTGGTGGAGGAGGCCATTGATCCCACACACCAGAGAGGCTAAGAAAAAGAGCACATGTTTAAACATCCCTGAGCTACAGGGTGAATTCAAGTCCAACCTGGACAACTTATTCTGCCTCCAACTATAAATAAACAAACAGTAAATAAACAAAGCAAAGTGGGCGGGTGGGGGGTGCTTGAGAAAGATGACTCAGTGGTTAAGAGCACTTGCTGCTGTATCCGAGGACCAGGGTTTAAATTCCAGCATCCATACTGTGTGGCTCACAAAAGCCTGTTACTTCAGCTTCTGACTCCCATGGACCCGTACACCCACACAGAAACACATAATTAACATCCAGTAAGTCTTAAGAAAAATAAAGGTAAGGAAGCAGGCAGGGCAATGTAGGGAGGGGTGAAGTATCGGGCTGACATGCAAAGGCCCTGCACTCAACCGCCAATATCACAAAACACCACCAGCAACAGCAACCTTTTCAGCTTGGCTGAAGTGTATATAGCTCACTGGTTAGCGTGTGAACTTAATACGCATGTATAGATGTAACCAACTGTTTTATTAAATAAGAAACACAGAAATAATGCAAAAGAGAAAGCCGAGAGGTCAGAGCTCAGAGCCAAAATCTCACCCTTCCGCCTGCGGTGTCCCAGCTTCCCGAATGAGAGCTCCTTTTCCTGTCTGTTAGTCTATTTAAAGAGACAGAACAAGCCACAGCTATCTCACCTCACC